GCCGAGGGACCGAAACCGCGGGCCGCGGGGCGCTCGGCGGGACAGGAGCGAGGGGACGAGCGCAGCTCATGGCAGTAGCCGAGAGTGCGCGGGGGGGGGGGGGGGGAAACACCGAACATGTGCAGCGATGCGGCAAGAGGGGGGCCGGCGGGCGAGAAGCCGCCGACCCGGGAGGGGCGTGGGCCAAATGGCGAAAATGCAAGCCGACGGCCAGGGAGACCGCAGGCCGGGCGTGTGGGGCAGGGGGGACTCAGGGCCAGGCTGGCTGCTACCAGCCCCGCTGCAAGGGTGGGCGTCGACGAGCGCCCGCAAGACGAATTGGGCAGCCGGACTCCAGGCGGGTTATTCGGCGCCTGGCCGAGGGCCGGCAAGGAGGCGCAGCGCGGGGACACTCTGGGAAGCGTCTCTTGGGGCACTCAGGAGTCGTCTTGGGCCCTCCAGGGGCGCTCTCGACTCGGCAGGACCCGCCGGGCCCCGAACCTAGCGAGATCCGTTGTGTACGTATATCGGTATCGGTATTCACTGTATTTTTTACAGCTGCGTAGGTTTTACGGCTCTGCCTTGTGGGGGCATCTTCCATGGCTTTTCGGGGGCCTGCTGGCCACGGCTGGACCCAGCTCGACAGTCTGGCTGAGACGGACTGACCCTAGGAGGGGTCCGGGGACCGATTTCCAACAGATGCTGGCATGATGCTGGGCCACGCCTTCTTGGAGATTGCGCTTCGCGCATGGAGGCCTGGACTGGAAAGCTGCCCTTGTCGGGTGCGGCGGCGCGAGGGCGCGAAGGCAATCGCGCGCCGCGGGGCGCGACGCGCGACATGGAGGACGGGGAGGTCCTCCTCGCCCCTGGATCGGTCCGAAGCCAAATTCGGAAAAGGGGGAGGGAACTCGGACCTGCAGCGGCATCGGCACCGGGACACCGAGCCCTGATAGCATCGGCTCGGGATCGGGCCTGCGGACTCCGCGGACCCCAGGCGGACCTCCGATGGCCTCCCCCGAGGGCCGTGGAGACCCCCCCTCTCGGTCCTGCGGGCTGCTCCCCGACGGAGGCGCCAGCGAGGCTCGGCCGTGGATGGAGAAGCAGGGGCTGGAACGGGAAGGAGCAGCGGGGGCAGGGGCAGGGGCAGGAGCAAGGGCAGGCGCAGGGGAAGACGCAGAGGCAGGGGCAGGAGCTACGGCAGCACGTTCCTGTGTGGGCCAGCTGCCCGTGCGCGCAGCGTTGACGCTGGCGCAGCGGCCTCAGCGGCGGCTGACAAGCGCACTCGCTACGGCAACGCCGTGTTGCCGGCCGTGGTGGGGTCTCACGGCCGCCTCGGGGTCGGAACGCTCCGCTCGCTGGACCTCCTGACCACGCACGCCGGGCGCAGCCTCGCCGTCGCCTGTGCCGCGCCCTGGCTACTGCCGCGATGACGCGCTGCCTTCGTTCATATTGTGCACAGCGCCGAGCGTTCGGGCGCATACCGACCGCATGCATGTTCCATCGAGTAGCAGGCAGGCATGTGCCTGTCCGCCAGTAGAGTCCCGTCTGGAGCTGAAGCGGGAGCCCCAAGGGTGCGGGATGGGCACCTTGCCCACCCTTGGCGTGCACGGCTCTTTGCCTTGCAGACTGAGCATGAGCCCTGGGCACCCGCGGTAGGCGGTAGGCAGGGCACAGCCGAATTTTGTGGGGAAATTATGGAACATGACAACTTGGGTTTCCAACGGAGCTCGATATAGGGCCTCTAATAGGTCTCCTCATGGCGTTCTTCGGACCTCTGGCCCGAAGGGGTGCTCTAATGGGTCTCCTCATGGTCGAACTGAGGGCCCAAAGGGGTGTCGCCCTTTGCCCGAGGCTCATCGTGCTGGGTGTGTTCACGCATCCTTGATCACGTGGACACAGGAGTCTTGGATGCAGTCGGGGGGGAATTGCCGCGGTATGCTACATGGGCGGAAATCGAGGCAGGCCGCAGCAAGCGAGTTGGCAATATGCGCTGTGGGGGCAGTGCGGCGGTGCTTGGGGTTCCTCCTTCCCCCCTCCCAATCTCTCCTCATTCTCTCCCCTTTCACCCCGCCCCCTCTTTTCCCCATCCATTTCCTCGCCACTTCCCCTCCTTCCCCCCTTCCTCCCCCTCTCTTCCTCTTCCTCCTCGTTCCCTCCCCCTTCCCCCCATCTTCCACCCCTCCTCGCTCTCCGCCCCCCGAACTCCCCCCCAGTCCCCCTCATCACGTTCCGCATCCTGTCATCCCCGCTCCCCAAACTTGTCCATCTTTCCTCTCTTATCCCCTCCCTTTTAATTCTACTCCCCCGCTTCCTCCTCTCCTCTCCCCCACTTTCCCCCCCTCTCCTCCCCGTGTCCCTCTCTGTCTCTCCCTCTCTTTCTTTTCCCTGTCCACACTCTCCCCCCTCCCCCTGCCTTTCTCCTGTGCCCACGACCCCCGCCTTTCAGGCCAGCCAACCACCTGCCCACGCCCCCGTCTCCAGCTTGCGACCCCGTCCAGCGCTCGCCGCACCCGCCCCAGAGGTGGTAGGGGTGGCCGTCGGCGTCCCCATGGCACTGAGCGCACCGCCCGCCGATGCGCCCTCGATTCACGAAGGCCACCAGGGGGGATACAGGGGAGAAGTGGAGTAGCCAGGAGCTGGAGCGGGAGTGGGAGTAGGAGGAGGAGGAAACAGAGAGAGGGATGATGATGATTGCGATGGCGATGATGATGCTGATGTTGATGCTGATTATGATTCTGCTGATGATGGTGCTGATGCTGATGCTGATGGTGATGGGAATGTGGTGCTGGTGCTGATGATGCTGGTGAAGATGGTGATGAAGATTATAATGCTGATGCTGATCTTGATGATGATGTTTCTGCTGACGATGATGATGCTTATGATGATGCTGCTGTTGATGATGATGTTGATGATGATGACGGTGACGAGGATGGTGATGATGATGATGGTGATGATGATGCTGATGCAGGTTATGATGTTGATGCTGATGCTGACGCTGACGACGATGATGCTGCTGCTGCTGGTGGCGGTGGTGGTGGTGATTATGATGATGGTGGTGGTTGTGATGATGATGTTCATGCTGCTGACGATGCTCATGAGGATGACGGTGATGCTGCTGCTGATGATGGTGAAGACGAGGACGATCAAGACGATGTTGATATTGATCATGCTGATCATGCTGATGATGCTGATGATGCTGATGATGCTTATGATATTGATAAGTATGCTGATGATGGTGGTGGTGATGGCGTCGGTGACGATGCTGCTGTTGATGCTGATCACGGTGGCGGTGGTGCTGATGATGATGCTGATCATGATGGAGATGGCGATGGTGACGGTGACGATGATGTCGATGGTGTTGATGCTGATGATGGTGATCATGATGACTGTGATGATGCTGATGATGATGGTGATGGTCATGGTGATTGTGATGATAGTGAGAATGCTGATGATGATGCTGGTGCTGGTGAGGGTGAGGGTGATGATGACGGTGATGATGGTGGGGACGGAGATGATGGTGGGGACGGAGATGGTCATGATGATGAGGACGATGATGACGATGATGGGGTTGGTTGTCTTGTCGGTGATCAGGGCGATGATAATGATTCTATTGAATATGCTTTGGTTCATGATGGTGGTGAGGAGGATGATGGGCATGATGCTGATGCTGATGATGACGGTGACGATGCTGATGATGCTGACGATGACGAAGCTAATGGTGATTATGGTGGCCGTGATGCTGATGATGATGGTGATGGTGATGTTGACGATGATGATGACGATGACGATGTTTATGGTTGTGATGATTGTGATGGTGATGGTGACTGTGCCGGCGATGGTGATGATGATGATGCTGATGCTGATGCTGATGCTGCTGACGATCATGCTGATGATAGTGATGCCCATGCTGATGCGGATGCGGATGCTGACAGGTCGTTGGTTGGTGATGATGATGACGTGGAAGTCGGTGTTGATGCGGCAGTTGATCATGGTGTTGATGATGTGCATGATGATGATGACCGTGATGATAATGGTGATGGTGATGATGACCGTGATCGTGATCATGATCATGTTCATGATCATGAGGTTGATGATGATCTTGATGATCATGATGGTAGTGGTGACGTCGATGATGGTGATGCTGAGGAAGGTGGTGGTGGTGGTGGTGATGCTGATGTCCATGGCGATGCCGATGGCGATGATGATGATTTTGTTGTTGATGCAGGCGATTGTGATGACGATGATGACGATGACCATGATGACGATGATGATGATGATGCTGATGATGCTGATGATGATGATGATGCTCCTGTTGAAAGGCTGAGAATGCTGATGATGCTGCTGCGGATGATGATGCTGATGATGGTGATGATTGTGATTCGAATGCTGATGAAGATGCTGATGATGGAGGTTACGATGGTGATGATGATGCTGATGGTGACGATGGTGATGATGTCGATTGTGACGGTGTGGCCGATGATGATTACTGCGATGTGGATGATTACGGTGGTTGTGTTGGTGGGAATGGCGATGGCGTTGATGCTGACCATGGTGGTGATGATGATGCTGATCATGATGATGATGATGATGATGATGATGATGATGATGGTGCTGCTGATGATGATGGTGATGGTGATGGTGATGGTGATAGTGATGATTGTAATGGTTTTGGCGATGACGATTGTGTTGATGGTGAGGCTGACGCTGATGGCGTGATGCTAATGGTGGTGGCGGTGGTGATGGTGATAGTGATGGTGAACATCACCATGATGGCGACGATGACGATGATGATGATGATCATCATCATGCTGACGATGATGATGATGATGATGTTGATGATGATGATGATGAGATTGCTTCTGCCTATGATGATGATGATGATGATGATGACGTTGGTGATGATGATGCTGATGATTATGATGATGATGATGGTGATGGTGATGGCGATGATGATTACGGTGGTGATGATGTTGATTGTGGTGATTATGGTGGTTGTGATGGTGATGGTGACCATGCTGAATATGGCGATTCTGGTGGTGATGATGATGGTGATGGTGATCGTGGTCAGGAGGAGGAGGAGGACGATGATGATGACGATGAGGATGACGGGGACTGTTACGATAAGGGCGACGAGGACGACGAGGAGGCGGAAGATGAGGTGAAAGGAGGGATGATGGCAAAAGACGAGGCCGAAGTAGGTGAGACGGAGAGGAGAGAGAGAGAGAGAGAGCGTACGATACATACATATATATACACATATATATATATAGAAGAGACAGTGAAAGATAGAGGGAGGGACAGAGAGAGAGAGAGAGATGGAGAAAGTGGGTACGGTCGAGAAAAGGAGAAAGAGCGAGAGATAGGGTCAGGCAGGAGGGGATAATTGAGTATACGTGTATTTCCAGAGTGAGAGAGAGAGAGAGAACAAAAAAAGGAAACACACACACAAAAAAAGAGACAGAGAGAGAGAGAGAGAAGAAGAGAGGGAGAGAGAGAGAGAGAGAGAGTGAACCACTTCGGACGATGGGCTCGTCCTAGCCCGCAGGATGCTAGCTCCTGCTGGACCAGCCTCTCATTGGCGGGAGGCGCCGCTTGAATAACATGTATGTGAAAGCGCCTCCCCCGTGGCGCGGTCAAAAAGGGACCCTGGCCGGAAACACTGGAAGGGCATGGCAATGAGGGCGTGGCACGCCTCATCGGCGCGCCCGTGCTGCAGGGAGGCACCGGCTTTCAGCGCGCTTTGGCATGCGGACCTCGTTGCGAGAGAAAAAGTGGGCATCCCCATCGTCGGCTCAGGGCCTGGTCTGCGGAAGGAGAGGCTATCGTGGTGCGGTAGCGGTGAGCAGCAAGTCGCGCCTGGAGATTTGATTGGGGAGTGGCCCCAGGAGATAGGCGTGCAGAGAGCCGATTGGAGTTCGTTCCACGCGGACTGCGCTCTCTGGAACCTGTCAACGAGGGTCTTGACTGTTCCTGGATGCTATGCAGCGTGTGAGCGAGGCTGGAGGCGCGCTGTTTCAGCGCCGTGATGCTTGTGGTTACAGCAGTTTCACGTTCCTGGACAGGCTGTTGCCTGGTCACGGCGGGACGCTGCGTGAGGGCAAGTCTCCGATCGCTGGGCCGCGCTGGTGTCGCTCGGGCACCTGCACCCTGGTGGGTGGCACTTGGGCCCTTCGTTCCCAATCCTGGCGTCAGGATGTGCTGCGCTGGGGAGCTGGGTGTGCTCCCGCACTGGCCAGCCCAGTGGGTTGGGGCGACTGGGCGGGTCCACAGGGAGGCACAGTCCGCGCCCCTCGCCTACTAGGCGAGGGAAAAACGTCGCATTCGATTATCAGAGCTTTCCTGGCGTGGCGTTTAGTTGTCCGCAGCAGATCCTGACGTACATGCTCCTTCTACCTGTCCTATGCACGCAGGCACTGTGGTGTACACCAGCGCTGCGTTGCACGCGGATGCTGTGGTGTAGACAGGCGATGTGGCGTGCACAGGCGCTGCGGTGCACGCAAGCACTGTGGTGTACACAGGCGTTGTGTTGCACATGGCTGCTGCGGTGTATGTACACCGGCGCTGTAGTGCTCCCAAGTATTGTGGTATACACGGGCGGTGCGTTGCCCACGGCTGTTGCGGTGTACTCAGGCGCTGTGGTGCACACGCGCGGTGTGGTGCACGCGAGCGTTGTGGAGTACACATGCGCAATGGGCAGATCGCCACCTACATGCTGCTCGCGTCGTCGTCGTCGCTCGTCGCTCGTCGCTCGTCGCGTCGTTCGCGCGGGCGCGGCTGTGGTGCCAGAACCACACGGCGAGGGGGTGGGGGGCGTCACGTCATACCCCCCCCCGCCCTCCCCCCCCCCCCCATGACGCCCGTCATCGTCGAACATAAAGAAACGCGCTCTAGGAAACATACACATTTATTTAGATATACATATATACATACAAGACTGCAATGGCGCTTTGCGCCATGCACCTTGGTCCGATAAATGGACGCTGGCGCAGGCAGACTGAGAGAGGTAAGCCGATCGAGACAGAAATCGTTTCTGGTGGCCGATGTCGCCAACACCGTGGTTACATTGTTATTGTTGTTCCTTTCCTTACTTTTGTCTTTGTCATTTTTCTCTGCCCCATTCTCGAGTGAATCGGCACACGAAGGCTTCTTCGTCCTCTTCTGATTCGACCGCAGCAGCTCCTTCGTGGCCAGCATCTGGAGAGCTTTGCGGACGCATTGTTAGGGTTCCTTTGGAGCCTCTGCAGGCGGCCGTGGCGCCTTTCGGCGACCAGTACGGAGGTCCTCGAGCCTCCATACCAGGAGTCGCGGTTCCAGATCACGTGTTGTATTTTTGGGGAAGTTGATTTGAACACCATTTGGGGCCGTGGCGAGGCCGCGCGTGGGCAGTTTGGGGGCCGTCTTGGGCCCTCATAGGGCCCTCTTGGGCTCTCACGAAGCCCGTCTGGCTTGTCTTGCAGCGGTTGTCGGTGTTTTTTTCCCAGCGATCTCGGACGCTTGGGAGCCTGCATGAGCAAGTATCCGAACATTGAAAAACGAAAAAGCAATATTTATCCACGTTTCGAGCGCCTCTTCCGAATGACATTCGCGCCGTGTG